CAGGCCCTAGTGCTTGCCAGGGAAGCACTTACTCCACTGAGCCATCTCCCTGGCCCCACCATGCCCAGTCTCAATTGCTGCTTCAGCATGCCCTGGGGGTGCGGCTGGCAGAGCAGGCCCAGGAACCAAACCCCTGGCCCCTGCACTTGCTTGTAGGTGCTTTAATCCACTGAGCTATTTGGCTGGCCCTAGGTCTTATTTTTTTAATTTTTATTTTATTTTATTGATTGATACAGGGTTTCACTTCACAGCTAGGGACTTGTAGTGGTCTTCCTGTCTCAACCTGTCTAGCACTGGGATTACAGGTGTGTCTCCAGTTCTGGGGCCAGCATGGCACACCCAGTCTAGCATGTGGTATTGGGGATTGAACTCGGGGCCTTTCACTTACAAGGCAGGTGCTTATGCCTCTGAGCTATCTCCCTAGCCCTTGAAGGTCTGACTGAAGGACCAAAGCCCCTGCCTGCTTTCCCACCAAGTTCCTCTCTGCTGATCATGATGGTCCTGGGCCTTACTAGTGAATACACCCTGCTCTCAGCAACCCTCGTTCCAGGGAGATCTTCCATGAATGTAAGCTCTGAACGACCCAGGGATGAAAACATCTTTGATCTTGTTTCTATTTGAAGTTCATATGTTCAGGAGGAAGGTAGAGACGCTCAGCTGAGGCATGAGGTGGCAAAGGAAGAGGCTGGTGAAAAGATGGAGGGCCCACTCTGGAGCCTGGTTTCCGGGTGAGATCAGAGCTGGTGGGAAGGGAGGGCCCCTCTTGGAGTCCATTTTCTGGGACTGGATCCACCTTCTGATTTAACTCAGGACCACACCGCCGAGGTCTAGATGCGACGGCTATATGTAGCCAGATAATTCAGCTTGTACACAGTAGGTCTCTGGGCACGTGCTCTGAGGTCTTTCTTTTTTAAATTTTTGTGAAGCCATTTATTTATTTGGTACAGGGTCTCACTATGTGTAGCTTGGACTCATTGGGATTCTCCTGTCTCAGCCTCCTCAGTGTTGGGATTGCAGGCATGTGCCACCACGACATGCAGTATTGGGGATCAAACGTGTGTCCTTGTGCTTGCCAGGCAGGGTTAGACCACTGAGCTATCCCCCCAGCCCCTGCCCTGTGGTTTGCTGAACCCTTGGCTGACCCAATCCTAATAAGCATGCCATTAACTATGCAGATTAGGTTCCCTATGGGCTTTGTACTCTGTGACAGCTCCTTTAAGTGCCACAAAAGTCAAAAACTTCACCCTCTGGTGAAGGCCTGAGTCAAGCTCATTACTCAGACCAAATCCTCAATCTCAGCTCAAACCCTGAAGTTTAAAGCATTGAGTTCTTCTCTTGGGCCCATGCCTGCCTGTGGAGTGTATCTTCTCTTTTTCAAATAAACCATCGGTCCTCCTGTCACTCCTGAATGTCCTGCTCATGTTTTTTGTTTAGGACACAAAGAACTTAGTGAAGATACCCAACCTGGTGTTATTGTCATAAATTAGGATGCTTCATTGATTTATATAAAATTAATTTTACTACTTCAAAGCTTACCCCATGCTCAACACGGCAGTGAAGGGCCATATTTGATAGGAATAAAAGCACAATCGTTCTATGCATGAGAATGTCTCCTATTTATGTAATAAGATTTTTGGAAAGAACCTAAAATGCCTCACATTATCGCTGTAACACATTGCTGCTGTAAAGTGCTTGACGTGTTGTTTTCCTGACCTCCATGCAGAAAAATGAGGTTTGAGGAAGTTAGAGGACTTGTTTAGCATCCCTTGGGGAAGGAAGAACAAGCCAAGAACACTCTAGACTCCTACTGGGACAGTCTGTCTGCCCGCGGGCGCGATGGCGGAGGCTGAGGACGCTGGGCCTTACCAGAGGGCTTGACAAGCACGGCCAGGAAGTCTGTGGTGAGAGAGCTGACGTAGAGAAGGACGCAGGGCGCCTTGGTGGTGCTGAAGCTGAAGTGGATTTGCTCCTGGGCCAGGTCCGGGGCGGAGCGCGGCTGTTCCGGAGAGTTCTCGGCTCTGCTGCCGGCCTCTTTGGCACTAACCGTGGGGGCCTGGAAGTTGTATCGCAGCCACATGCCCTCTTCAAAGAAAGCACCCACATCTGTCGGGAAGGAAAGACAACGTCGAAGAATGAGGAGAGGGCTGATGCCCATACTGGGAACATTTGAAATTCGGGGGGACTGTGGATTTCATCAAAGTACTTCATGGTTGAAGACTGGGGTCGGGAAGGGGCTTATCAGGTTGAGTGAATGTTTATGCAAATGGATGCTGTTTCATTAACAACAAAAATTCAAAAACTTAAAGAATTTAACAGAGTGCAAAAATGTGTTGAATTAAATAAAGCAAAAAACATCAAAAACCTAAATCATACCAGAAAATTCTATGTACACTTCTCAGACCAGATAGCTGTTTTTAAGATGAAAAACATATGCTAAAAATGAAGGTGGGAGGGGGGTGCAGCATAAACTCCCAACCCAGGGAGCACACTAGGGCATCCTGTTTGAGACTGGATTTGATTTAGGAATTCACAGAGAAAAGCCCATGACATGCGGCCGGGGAGATACAGATCAGTGGAATATGTGCTTGCCTGGTAAGCGCAAGGTCTTGAGTTTGATCCCAGGTACCAGAAAAAAGAAAAGAACAGAACAAAGAAAAAAAAAAAGAAAAAAGAAAAAAGAAAAGCCCATGACAAACCCTAAGGTCTGAAATGCTCTGTGCATAGTTTCAAATCCCAAGATATGCTTTTAGACAGAATTGGGTTCATACTGAGCCCTTGTGTTAAGGAGCTATTTGGCTTTAGGTTACACTATTAACCGAGTTCTCCAGGGTTCAGTAGGTTGTGTACAAAGTGAAGTATAATTAGCAATCACTAAATAACACATTATTGTTGAGAAATTAGGAGAAAATGTACTAAACCTTTCTATATCCTCTTTTCTGATGGTCAATCAATGCTGATTGGTTATTAATCACTGCCTAGCAGACAAGATCCCTGTGGCTTGCTCCGTGTTCTGAAATCAGCCCGATCCCATGGTGAAAGTCTGAGTAACCTGGGCAGATTCCTGTGGCCTTCACAGCTCCCACGCCATGGGGCTCCCTGTGGGCCTACCTGAAAGCACCTTTCAAGATGCATGGCCCGGAGAACCCGTTATTCAAGATGCATGGCCCGGAGAACCCATTATTCTCACAGCACTGGACAACCCAGGAAATCAACGCCACGTAGACGTAGTTTGCAGATCATTGCTCTATGCTACAATGAATGCCCTAGGGTGGTTTTCCATGGGAGGCTTTCATCTGGGCATTTTGACACGGACTTTCATGGATGAAGGCCCCACAGAGCTGTGGGTCAGGTGCCTGGAGGGTAACCCTTGGCCTTGCCTCAAGCCACCTGCATTCTCTGGGGTCAGTGACTGTAGACTCTCACTCTTATTTTCCTTAGAAAACTGAGGCCTCCTTGGAGACTGGGAAGGTCAGACAAGAGGTGTGTAATGGTGAGCCTTGTGCCTGGAACGTGGAAAAGGCCAGTGAAAGCTCAGCCCCCTGTGATGCCAAAGGCACCTGGCCATTGTCTAGTGAGGCGAAGTCACCTTCTTGAGCCCCTCGCTCCGGCTGCCATGCGCGTGTGATCTGCAGGCCACCCGGCCCTGCCTGCCACGGAGCCCCCTGCTGCTTGCGAGTTGTGCAGGGTGGTTACTATTTGCCTTCTGGCCCTTTATGTCAAGGACTGTGTGTGTGTGTGTGTGTGTGTGTGTGTGTGTGTGTGTGTGTGTTAATATGCTCGGTGGGGTACTAAAGGCACCCAGAGGGCAGAGATAAGGCCAGTGGAATGTCCTGCAATGTGGCAGACAGTGGCACACGGTTAAGAATGGCCCTGCTCAAAATCCCAACGGCATCCTTGTCGAGACACACAGGAGGGAGCGCCTGCTTGGTCCAGGCTTCTGCCTCCTGGTGCTGGAGGACATGGGTGGGCCCCCGCCCCTGACAGCACGGTAGGTGTCTGGGCTTACAGCGTGCACTGCAGGTATGGGAAGCTCGAGCCAGCAATTTAGGCTTCTAAACATTCTCTTAGGCTTTCACGAGGAGCACACTGGCCGTGACTCATCCACATGGCTGACACTGACAAAGGATCTACAATCTGAGGTGCAGGATCTCAGGATAAATCCTGAGGGGATTTCACTGACCTTATCAGACCCAAAAGCTACAACTCTTGTTGCATAGGTCCTGCTTTATCTTGGTCTCAACCATCCAGCAGAAAAGTATAAAAACAAAGTATAAGAAGTAAAGCCATGCTGTTATGTTGAGCTGTAGGGGACTCAGGTCAACAATTTCTGACATTGCCAGTCAAGCGGAAGACCCAATACTATTATGGACTACTGGACTCTTTTAGAATATTTTTGCTGAGGTAGCACACCTAAAATATTCAAATGACGGAACTAAATAAAAAAGGGGATACAGATGAATGTCCATTTTGTATCTGTGTATTCAAAATGGTTAGGATAGATATATAGTTACATTCTCTTAATGAATAGAGGGATTTGTTCTAATAGTGTTTGTAAATAGGAAATCATGTCAGTATCTTGTACAGCAAATAACCACTAGGAAGAGAGTATGCAATGTGTTAATTATTGGAACTGTCCTACCAATTTGATTTGAAACTGTCTTATTGCTATTTGTCTGTCAATAAAATTATGGAAAAAAATTAGGCTTCTAGCAAACATCTACTGAGCCGCGGCTGTGTGCAGAGCTCCATCCTGGACATTGAGGTTGAGAGGCTTGATCCCTGATGAGCTGTTGGTCGGGAAGAGGATGGAGACAGGTAGCACTGAGCATGCTCAGAAGCAGGGACCGCAGGGTTCCAGGGGCATTGTGGAGCCCCGTTCCATGTCCCAGGGCCTGGGAAGCCTTACTGTTACAAAGGTGTCAAGGATGGGACCCCAGGAGCCCAGGTACAGCCCCAAGAAGTGTTGAGTGGGACACCCATTGAGCTCTCTGCATGGGCAATGCATGCGAGCAAGGAGGTCGGGCACAGAGCCCCTGCAGGCTGGGCTGTGGCGTCACCTGACAAAGCTAGTGCTGCTTCTATACATATGGAGCCCTTCCCTCCGTACTCCTGAGGCTCTCTCCCCCTTTCAGGCTGGGTTGGGGCATGGTGAGCCAGACACAGCTGATCCCTGGCCTGCTCAGGGTCAATGGGATGTGGGGACACTCTCAGGACAGAGCCTGAGGACCACATCTAATAGCAGGGAGGCCGGGAAGCACCTGGAGCAGACCCCCCATGGGGTTCATTCTCCAAGGACGGTGCCTACTGGAGAGCGTGGGGCGCGGTCTGAGGACAGGTCAGTGTGTGTGGCGCAGAGGGGGTCGACGGGGGGCTTGGATGGAGGGAGGAAGAGAGACAGTGGATTTCAGATCCGTCAGAGATGGCTGGCAGGGAAGCCGAGGAGGAGAAAAGAAGGCCCTCAGCCCTGCCACTCAAGACGGACCAAGGGGCCTGGGTGGCAGAGCCTGTCGATCCCTGAGGTGTGCTAGTGACAGGCGCAGCCACCGCCTGGAGAAGCTGGGTCCTCTGTGCTGAGCCCTCTGCAGATTTCGCCTTCCCAGAACCAGAACTGGAGTTGGTGAGGACACAGAACCGAGTTCCTAGTATTTCTCAAGCCACCAGGCCTGGTCCCCAGGGGAACTAAGAGGATTGCACCAGTCAGGGCCTTCACTAGGCCCTGGCGGGTGCATATGCAAACACTGGAGGTCCAAGCGGTGGAAGAGGAGACAGATGTTTGCCAGACAGAGCAGGGAGGGGAGGGGTCCCTGCCAAGGCGAGATGTCATACATTTGTCTGCTAAGCTGGAAACTGCCATCCCAAGGTGGAGCATGAAGGAAGATTCAGAAACCTCAAGATTTTAGATGAGCAATCCAAAAATATGCCTGGGAGAATACTTTTGGTATAGTTTAGAGTCACCATTAAAAAGCTTTATTTTTTATGTCAGTTTTGGAGGAAGGGACATACCACGCATAATGGTGTTACTCTGAAGCCATGTCATAAAACTTTGTGTTAAGCTAAGGCCTGGGAGTGATGTGGCTCGTTGGAGGTTCCAAGTGGCAGATTTACAACCGACATTTATTGTTTCAGATAATTTTAGGGAAATACCGAATCAGGGTACCGTTACTGTTACCTTGGAGGGAGAAACTGCTCCGGCTTTTCTGAATGAATAACTGCAGAAACACTCATTTAACAAGCCCCAAATATCACTTTTTTTTTTTTAATTTTATGTTATCTAAATAAAGGCAGTTTTCTTTTTTTTTTAA